GCTGTAGAGCTTCTTTCATTAGCATGCGCCGACAATCCAGAAGGGTTACTAACAGCGGTTGACGACCGTGATGTACCTTTTCTTGACTTTTTGATAGAGACTGAACAAAAAGACTGTGTATCACACCCTACAGTTCAGGTCTACCTAGGGGACGTCTGGCGTGGGGATTTCAAATGGGATGACTGGAAATACTTTTTGTTGTTCATTCTGTGTCTGATTTGTCCGCCATTTTGGGCATTTTTGTGTCTTCCTTGGAAAGACCGCTTCCACAAAGTACCGATTATTAAGTTCATTTGTCATCTTATATCCCATTTGTATTTGATTCTATTGTTTTGTTTAACGACTGTGGTGCCGTGGAGTAGTCCTGTTTATTCSTTGATACCTCGATGGTAYGAGTGGCTTCTAGTCATATGGCTATCGGGTTTGTTATTGTCTCAGCTAACAGATCCCCACGATCGAGCAGGACTGGGTTGGATACCTGTAATTGTGCTTTTCCTCAGTCTCATCGCGATATTTATTCATCTCATTGCCAACGCTGTGGACAAAGAAAATCGCATAGATATGATCTACACTCGTAATCAGTTCCTTGCTCTTGGAATGATGCTGTGTTTTGCTCAACTCTTAGACTTTTTRTCCTTCCATCACTTGTTTGGTCCRTGGGGGGTCATCATCCGGGACCTCATGTATGACCTCGTRCGTTTCCTTGTTATTTTACTTATCTTCATGCTTGGCTTYACGGCGCACCTGACGGCTGTCTACCGGCCAATGTACGGCGAATCGMAAGAAGAACACAAGGTAAACGAGAACGCTACGTTTGGTTTCTTCTTCTGCTTTGAGCTTTTGTTTTTTAGTTTATTTGGACTCACTGAAATGGACAGCTTGGTACCTCAAGAAAAACAYCCTCGCGCCACTCACTTCATCGCCAAGGCAACGTTCGGTATTTACAACGTTATTACTATCATTGTACTGATTAACTTACTCATTGCTATGATGAGTGACACGTACCAGAGAATCCAGAGACAGTCTGATACGGAGTGGAAATTCGGTCGCGCTAAACTGATACGCAATATGAAGCGTTCTACGACAACCCCATCCCCGCTTAACCTCATTACCAAGTTTATGTCGTACCTTAAGATCTTATACAAAGCGAAATGCAGATGTTGTCGTGCAGACATCATTGATATTCTACGAACTGGCGACCAAGTACCAGACAACTTATCAGTGAATCTAAACGCCCTGTACACCGAGCATCATGTCCCATCGTGGCTGCCCAATGGAACAGTCAGGCATCATCGTGAGAGCATTACACGGAACCCGCGTATTGAAGAAGTACTAGATTGGAAAYTATTGGTTAAAAAATTCATCGATTTRCGCTCTCGAAGAGGATCSACGGAGCAAATTAACGAAGTCTCAAGACCTTTAAACAGCAAACCAGTAGAACTTTCTGCAACAAGCGTTTCTAATAGGCGACCGCGGCCCGCATCAGTGTTAGGACTGGGACGTCAAAATGGAGGTTTTAATTTTGGCCGACCCGGGTCAAACTTTGGCTCCAACATGTCATTACATCGTGTTGTTAATGAAACAGTACGAAAAATCGACATAGTCACGAGTATGAGAGAAGTTCCCTCGGGTACGGAATGACGCACCTGAATTGTTAATTTTCACAACACCCCCCTCTCCAAAACAAATTCTACACAATTATGCGTATTTAAATAAAACGGATATCAAAATATAGCTGAAGCAAAATTTCAAAAGTGAACTGTCTTTGATTCTCTTGTTTAGTCATTTTCACCTTATCATTATATTTGAATGAAGTTTAGAAGCTATTTCAGAAAACGTTGAATGCTGAAAATAGCATATTGCAAGACCACAATGCATTGCTGGTCGTTTTATTGACGTTAAAAATGAGTTTTCGTGGTTTCAGCTTCGTGTAGTAAAAAAATGCACTGGAAAGCAAAGCAAAGAATTGTCATTTTGTCAGGCAGGTAACGTGGAGTATAATTTCAATAATGCATTGCTGGTCGTTTTGTTGAAGTTAAAAAAACATTCAACTGGAAAGCAAAGAATTGTCAGGCAGCCAACATGGAGTATAATTGCAGTAATGCGCATGCATTGCGATCTTGGGACGCACTATGCAAAATGTAGTATTCAGTACTCAACGTTTTCTTAAAAAGCTGTATATGGCTTAAATGTGTGTTTTGATATCAATATATAAAAAGCCAGTTGACATATTGCATGTGACGCTTAGCCAATACAAGCTAATATTTTCACATACACTTTAAGGACAATTTCCCTTTGTCAGTCTTGATGTATATTCATAAAGATTTGCCACGCTCATTTCAAGAAAAACACGTACAAAACCATTTATGTCGTGTATTATTTTAACTTTGTTAGTAAAGAATATTGACGTCAGTCGCCTCTGTCAATCAAGTCACCTACAACTCGTCCACCAGTGGTCCCTCGAACCTTTTCTCTTTTGTCTCTCAGAGCTTCCCTTGATGCATTTCGCCCGAGAGAGGGGACTGTGTACGACTTACATTACAGCCTCAGCTGAAGGGGCAATTTAATTTAATTAAATATTTATAATTCACTTTTGCTCGGGAATGCAATATTTTTGACGAACTGCGATGAATAAATGCGAAGGAATTATGATTGTCGCAGTAAAAGTATAACAATATAATAAGGACGAAGTCCGTATCTCCATGAGAACTATGCCATGTTTGGTTCATAATATAACTATTCATGTTTAACAAGTAACAGCAGTAACAAGTAACATTTACCTCCAATATATAAAGGTACTATGGAAGTTTCTTTTACGGACTGTTGTGAGAATTCTCGCTCGCTGATTGGCCGATAGAGCATGTCAATATAAGAGGGCATGCATACACAATCTCCTCTTGGAGATTAAAAAAAGATTTGTCACTAAGTGCTTACTAAAGAAAGTTGGCAAAGCATTTTGGTAGTTGTAGTAAATGACGCCATAATGCAAATTGGCTATTGGTTTTAGAATTTCGTTGGTTGACATGTTGAATCTTCTTGACTAGACGCTCTTAGATCGTGAAGTCGGGCTAGCTATTTTTTAGAAAGACAGCTGGATATTACCCCCGACTCGCTGTTTTTGAGAGCATTTAGTCTATAAGGTACTAGTAGATTCCTGCAAATCATACACACCATAATAGTGCATTACGTCAAAGATAGCCATCACCATCGATCTACAAACATTACTAATAATCGAATTAGCTATGTATTCAGCACTATCTTCAACAAGAACAGCAGCGCCGTAACCAGAGGAAAATGTTAACCGAGGCAAGTAGTATAGAGTCAGCAGTTGGGCCCGGATTTTCTGTGGGATTTGTGGAAAAAATCTGTGTGCTCATGAATATTTGTGGGTTAATATATTCAATATTTTTGTGGGCTATTACATATTCATTTTTGTGTGCCTTTCACTTAATCTCCGAACAATAGTCCTTTTGTTCTCTATTGTTTCGCCTAAGCGGTTATCGAGCCCCGAAAATAGGTGGTAGGTGGGTATGCTAATGAAGTCAAAACTGATAGGGGAGGGGTGGTC